TAGACCTGCATAGTTGATGTGAGGATGAGACCAGGGTTCGTTTGTTTGCGGCCACGACCATAGGGAGGTTTCCACGCGTGACTCGAATGCTTCACCACACCGCAGGCAAGTTTTGGACACTTGCTCAATCTGGGGACCCATCGAAGGCCAGTAGGCGTAACTCCGAGCAGCGGCCCTCATCCTGTTTGTTCCTGAATGCCCTTTATGAAACACATTCTGGAAGGCTTGTTTTGACTCCTTTAGGATGGCAACGCGTTCTGAAAATAAAAAGCATCCGCCGGCTAGTGACAGTTCGTCACGCCGGTGTAAGTAGGGTCTTAGTCTCTCTTTTGAGCATGAACGCCACCACATATTGCGGTGGTACCTAGGGAATTCCTTTAGCACAATGCCTTGATTCATGTCATCAGTCGCTGGGATAATGAGAACCACTTCCGATACCGCTTGGTTAACCTCCGGTTGCGAATTCAGTGTATCCTGTACGAATACATAGCCTGTACCAATAGTATAGCCTGTACGAATCAATAAGTCGCGACAATGTGTCAGCTTGTGCGAGGCTGGTAGTGAACTGGCACTTGGTCTTGAAGCAGAATCAAAAAACCGCATCGCTGGAAACGGTCGGCAGTACATATCGGGATCCTCTAATTCGAGCCAAACACACCAAGAAGTGGCTTGTGATTTGTCAGTAGGGCGAACGGACAGCCGCACAGCATTTTATGGAACATTTTCACGGGAAACACGATCATTAATGCATCCTGTTTTATCTGACTGTAGTAGCGATCGGCTGATGTCAGGGATATGGCCGCATTCTCGATGGCTTCTGACTTCTGTTGGGAAATGCATGGTATATCACTGCGACAACTCCGTAGTTCGGAGCAGCCGAAGCCACAACGATTTGCAGTGATGGATCGTAGTGGGTGAGTGGTGCATCGGAACTCAGCATGGAATTTTACAGGATCAGAGACCCACTTCCAGTCCACTGGGAGTAGCTTGTACAGTGGACTTCGGAAGCGATGCAAAAACGAACTGTAGTGACTGCCGAGACCGACAAAGGACCTGAGAGTTACCACGTCTGTGGGTGCTCGCATATGCTCGATAGCGTCGATGTTCCCCGGGTCTAGTCGGCGGCCATGTCCGTCAATAATGAAACCGAGGTACCTTACCGACCGTACGAATAAGGTGCGTTTTCCTCAGCGCACTCTAAAGCCATATACTTGAATACGACCAAGCAGGTAATCAAGGCGATACCACAATTCGTCGGGTTGGAACCCATGACAATCAGATCACCCAAGTAGACAGCAAAGCCAGGGACATCCTTCAGCATCAAATAAATGATCTGCTGAAGTATGCCTGGTGTAATATCACTTTGCCACAGCCTTTTGATTTCTCTTTTTTTCCCGAAATTCCATATGCTTTTTCCCGTTTAATTTACACTACTAAACACGCTTTCAGTAGTGATCTTTCACCAAAGATATGGGCAGATCATCCATTTCCATTGCTGGACGTGACCTACATAACTGTCCGCACACGGCTGAGGCACAATCGTTATGGCCCCCTCAAATATGCAGTCGATTTATGCAATCGCCCCTTTCTCTGCTGAAGGGTACGAAATGAACGTTGCCACCCTGTTCGGGGAAATCCTGGGCAATCACCCATTCTGCAACATTCACGAACTCGTGCTTTGCATCAAGCGGTTCGAGCGGATTTCGGGATTGTACTAGTGTGTGAACCTCGAAAGCCAATTTCTCCGGTGACAAAACGTTCATCAGGTGCCAGTGTCACCGGGAAGGATTTGAACGTCGTCCTAAGGATTGAGAACGACGCCAATCGCTCGATCACACACAGTGCGAGGCGTACTTCAACGTCGGCAGACTAGATAACTCGTTCACAATAACCCGATTTAATAAGAACCACACCAGGAACTCCTGGGTGCCGAAGCATCCAGGTGGTTTAACCGAAACCGTCGATTAAATCCAGAGGAACGGGAGATAATACGGCCAACGCCCGAAACCCGGATCCGTTGTTTCAACATCCGCCTCTTCGTAAGATCAAAGTTCGGTAGGTATCTCACCAACAGCGACGTCGGGAACAATCCAGCTAAGTCCTATTTATGTTGCTAAATATATACTTTCCACAGCTTACATCCTCCACCTGGAAACAATTCAACGAACAAGGATGATCCTGCTGTTCGCGGGATGAGAACAACAGAACTTCGTATTTTGTATACTCAACCTCGAAAGTGCTTGAAGGTTACCGGATTTTTTTATTAGTAGATAGTACTTTTTCTACAAACCAACAGCAATATTTTTGTACCAGTTACTTATTGTAGATGGTTGTCGTAAAAGTCTCTCTGTGGCCATTGGTTTTCTGTGGCGGGAGACTGAGAATGACGTGAGAACCTTCCTACTGGCTTTTCTTGAATTTGTTGGTGATGGTTCTCACGTTAAGTGCATCATGTTAGAGGATGCACTGGCCGTTTCGAACGCAATAAGTAGCGTTTTCCCCCTTGCTCATTATTTATTACGTAGGGTCCATATCATACGTGATACTGTTAAGCGTGTCCCCCTTTCCGGTTCCTTCAGACGTTTTTTTACTGCTATACATCTTTTGGAGGTATTTAGCCTCCTCTTTCACCAAAGATATGGGCAGATCATCCATTTCCATTGCTGGACGTGACCTACATAACTGTCCGCACACGGCTGAGGCACAATCGTTATGGCCCCCTCAAATATGCAGTCGATTTATGCAATCGCCCCTTTCTCTGCTGAAGGGTACGAAATGAACGTTGCCACCCTGTTCGGGGAAATCCTGGGCAATCACCCATTCTGCAACATTCACGAACTCGTGCTTTGCATCAAGCGGTTCGAGCGGATTTCGGGATTGTACTAGTGTGTGAACCTCGAAAGCCAATTTCTCCGGTGACAAAACGTTCATCAGGTGCCAGTGTCACCGGGAAGGATTTGAACGTCGTCCTAAGGATTGAGAACGACGCCAATCGCTCGATCACACACAGTGCGAGGCGTACTTCAACGTCGGCAGACTAGATAACTCGTTCACAATAACCCGATTTAATAAGAACCACACCAGGAACTCCTGGGTGCCGAAGCATCCAGGTGGTTTAACCGAAACCGTCGATTAAATCCAGAGGAACGGGAGATAATACGGCCAACGCCCGAAACCCGGATCCGTTGTTTCAACATCCGCCTCTTCGTAAGATCAAAGTTCGGTAGGTATCTCACCAACAGCGACGTCGGGAACAATCCAGCTAAGTCCTATTTATGTTGCTAAATATATACTTTCCACAGCTTACATCCTCCACCTGGAAACAATTCAACGAACAAGGATGATCCTGCTGTTCGCGGGATGAGAACAACAGAACTTCGTATTTTGTATACTCAACCTCGAAAGTGCTTGAAGGTTACCGGATTTTTTTATTAGTAGATAGTACTTTTTCTACAAACCAACAGCAATATTTTTGTACCAGTTACTTATTGTAGATGGTTGTCGTAAAAGTCTCTCTGTGGCCATTGGTTTTCTGTGGCGGGAGACTGAGAATGACGTGAGAACCTTCCTACTAACTTTCCTCGAGTTTGTTGGTGGTGATTTTCACGTCGAGTGCATTATGTCTGATGGTGCACTGGCCATCACAAACGCAATAAGTGGTACATTCCCCTTTGTTGATCATTTATTATGTCGAGTTCACATTATACATAACATTATTAAGCGGCTTCGACTGTCCAGTTCCTTTGGACGCTTTTTCATGGCCATGCATACATAGAACTTTTGGAGGTATTTAGACTCTTTGGGAATTATTCGTATAAACGATCCCTCTTTTTTTATGTATATAAATTCTCTCATATTGCCTGATGCTTCGAAATGGGCCAACTGCAGGATGCCGGGTAAAGCAACGTATGGAATTCACGACACCAACGTGGTTGAGGCCAGGCATCGATGCCTGGCGATGGAGCTGCTCAACGGATAAATCGGACAATGGGAAACCATACGGAAGGCACGAATCAGCACGACGTACCCGATATGGAACCGTCAGAAAGCCATATCGGATGCGTCTCGTGGCGATCTCCACAGTGTCGGCCATCCTGAACTGGACAGCCTATACCGTCGACTGATGCCGCGGGACATCCCCAAGACGGAATCCGACCTGTGCTCAAACCATCCGCTTACAGTTGTGAGCAGCGACGAGCATTTCACGATAATGAGGGATCATCGACAAGAGGCAGTCAACCACGCAACCCATGTGACATAGATCACATGAAATATACAAATGATGTCACTGGCTGTGCTCAATCCGCTTACAGTTGTGAGCAGCGACGAGCATTTCACGATAATGAGGGATCATCGACAAGAGGCAGTCAACCACGCAACCCACCCATCATAGATCACATGAAATATACAAATGATGTCACTGGAAGCATTCACTTAATCATGTGCAAACTAATTGACGGGAAATCGAGTGTGTTTGCATCTGCGAGGTAACAGGCCGGTTAATGTGGTACGATTTTGCTAACCATGCGGACAAACAAGTGCGTGAGGACGAGCGTGTATTGCGGTGATTGTGGCTTCGTACATTTCACCGTTTGCTAACCGGAAAAGTAATGTTGCATTTGACAGTTGATGTTCACAACTCGCCACGATTTCCTTTGGAAAATCTAGTTCACAAATGCCAATGTACGCATGTTAATGCCTTGTCTGTACTCACCCATCCTGGTTGCAACCTCTGATGGTTGCTGCTTGCAGCGCGCAGTGTCGAATTTGGGACCCCCATTCTGGACACTGTTTGAAGATTGGCGGTGAACATGCTTTTGTTTAGTTCCTTGGTTTGCCGGGAGGAGAGATTCCCATGTGAAAGTACAACAAAGATTGGTTGATGAACACAACAGAACATGTTTTGGGCAATTTTTTCAAGTCGTACGTTCGCGAATGACCATACGGAAACATTGGATGCAAATGAATGAGCACGACGTACGTGAAACAACTAATCCTAGTCATGAGTAGGAAGACTTGAGTTTGGCAGTACGTACAGTGCTGTTATCGTGTGGTCTGTGCAGGATGGCTAAACCATGACAAGTCCAACATGCGAACAAGGCTTTTATGTGACCAAGTCGTTTGCGGTGCTTTAATGACCCAGGTTGATCAGCAGTCGCCTTATAAAAAATAAGGAAAATTTGGCTGGGCATAACATCGTACAATGGAACCACTCGGTGCTGTGCGGCCAACAAGCAACAGTAATTCGTTCATTGCTGTCACAGACGGCGATGTATAATTAAATGAACAAGGAAGGAATAGAAATTTTCCTGGTCGCACATACTATCCAGTACCCTCATGATGCTCAAAATGACCTGCTGTAACTCAGATATTAGTCATGCAAAATTTCTATGTAGTATACTTCATTTGAAACCGAGAAATCACGGAAGCCGATGAAATTGCAGTTACCTTGTTACTGTTTCACACTGTATACACCTCAATAAATGAACAATTCTGCATCCCGACCATAGAATGGATCCAAAATATAATGACACCAATTTACTCCCGGCTTATCTCACACCACCGTGAGTGTGGCCTACATCAACGTGGGAGCGAATCTGGAAGTGACAGCAATCGTGGCTAAGGACAAAGGAACTACATTCCACAGTGCAAATTTGATAGTGGTGTGCATGTTTCATTCCGGTACGTCGTTCACTTTAATGGTATACAGAACTTATGCAGATAAAGTGCGAAATAACAGGAACCGGTGTTACATGAGAAGTACGCACCAGCAATTACTACTGGTGCGGTGC